GAGGAATTGCTGCGAAAAGGACAGGAAGAGAAAAAGACACTGGTGGATAAGATAAATCATTTAACAGTATCATGTGAGTTACTGTAGAATGTAATATGTACTGACTCTTTAGTATTACTGTTGTAGCATTGTGCATGTGTGCATTATGTGATTATTCTGATGTTTATTTTTTTCAGATCTTGTAATTTTTAGAAATATTTTAAAAAGTATGGAAAAGGTAAGTTTTGTAGTTTCAGGCTGCATATCTTCCCCAAAATAGGTGGTGATTTAATGGTGCATGAAATTTCTGATTGAATATTGTTGCAAGTAAAGTAACATTCCTCCTAAACAGTACAAGAAGCCGAAACTGAAAAGCTTCGCCTGACTGACGAAGGAGAAACCCTTCGCAAAAAGATCGCAGAGTTGACAGAGGAGAAGGACACTGCAGAGCAAGGGAAGTCCTTCTACACCAGTGAGACAGTGAAATTGCAGGGCCAGAACAAGGAGATCGAGCAAGAGAGGGACTATTACAAGGAAGAAATGCAGAAACTCCAGACAAAACAGATGGAGTTGGAACAGGAGCTTGACTTCTTTAAGGACCAATCTGGGGAGGTCTGTGGCAGCCTTTGATGAATATGTTTCCTTCTGCAGTGTACAGTTATTTTTTGGTATTGTTGCCCAAGTACTTGAAAACTGCTTAGAAAGAAGTGGAAAAGTACTTAAAATTAGAAAGAATCTTTACATATAAAGTATTTAGCATATAACACATATACATAAACCAAATATTTCTCTCTGATAAGTAGGGCTTTGTTTAATCTTTTGCATACCTTTCCTTCTGCATGCTGACTTTTAAAAAAAGTAGTTTGTAGATTTGAATTGTAAATATTTAGAACAATATAATTATTACAGTTATCGAGAACAAAGCAAGCTTTGGAACAATCTCGAGATTACATGACAGATGATATGTCTAAACTGCAAGCTCAGCTTAAGCAGCTGCAGCTAGAGAGGAATTACTTCAGTGAACAGCTCAATGTGGTAAGATTTACAGGGCTGACTTACATCCATTTTTCTTTTGTTTACCATAAAATGATTGCTAGTATTTGTTTAACTTATTTCCCATGCTAATTCTTTGTACTGTTAAAAGAAAAACAAGTCAAAAGAAGGAAGAAATTGGAATATTCAATGACAATTGAGAAAAATATTTTTAGACTGGCATTCATTTTGTTAATTTTTCCAGAATCAAGAGGAGAAGAGACAGGCTGAGAGGGAACGAGAGTACTATAGTGAGCAGGTGCTTCAGCTACTCGACATCCTTAAATCAAAGCCAACATCAACACCCTCATCGCCAATGCAGATTGGAAGAAAATCAAAGCCTGTTTCTCCAGTAAGTGAATTTGTTAATTTATGCATTTTAATAAAATGGTTGAAGAGAAACTATGCAAAGTTGATGAGAATCTGTTGTTAAAGAGCTTCAATATTAGCTAATTGTTTGTGTATCTCTCTCTAAGGAAAATGAGCTTGCACGAGTATGTCATGAAAGGGATGTCTTGAAACAAGAGAGGGATTTCTACAAGATGCAGTACCAGTCAATGAGGAATCAACAGCAAGCACCATTGTCAGGCAGATCAGGCAGCTCTCCTGTATCTGGGCCCTCTGGAATTCCTGCATCAGCAGGTTCAGTTCCAACAGGGGTACCAGGGGCAATACCAATGGGGCCCCCAGGGATTGCCCCTCCATCAGCAGGTCTCATAGGCAGTCCTGCCTCTGGATCACCTCCACCCAGACCTCAGTCTATACCAGGTGCAGGTGAGTTGCCCTAAGACTTTTAGGGCTAGATTATGGTTGTTTGCTTTGCTTTTTAAAATTTGATTTACATATTTAAGGAATCTTGAATATTTGCACTTCAATTTACTACTGTGGTTACAGCGGATGTAGAAGCTGTTAGACGAGAACGAGATTTTTACAAACAACAGATGGAATACTTCCGTCAGCAGTACAATGCACAAATGCCCCGCATGCCTTCTGCAGCAGGAGTTCCATCAGATGGTCGGCCACCAATGGTCAGGGTGAGTTTTCGTATCTTAAAGTAAGACTTCGAAAATTTCTGTTTTATTTTATGTATGTGGGTACACATAAAGTCTGATATGCTCATGTAGTTTCTGAAAATTATGGTGTTGCTTCTGAAATGAGAACACTTTAACAGAACTGTATTGATGAAATATGCTAGGACATTCAGTTCAAAATTATATGTCTGAAGCTTGTAATGTACATTGTATAGGAGACCTAGGATAGGATCATAGATGTAATATACACAATATTGGGATCATGAAACAGAGGACTATGTGAGTACCAATCCTTCTTTCATCAGGGATCTGCAGAAACATCCCCTCCTGTGGACCCTGATTCAGCAGCTGTTAGGAATGAGATGGCAATGTACCAGCAAGAGAGAGATTTCTTCAAGCAGCAGTATGAAAATTTAAAAGCTAGTCTGGCTCAGCCGATTCCTCAGGTAATTAGAAAAATATATTTGTGTGCTGTTTGTTTTAAAGAAGGGTATTCTGCTCCTTTTTGTTTTAAGCATAGATTTGTTATGCTCATATCTATAGTAGTATAGAAAATAATCAATGATAGGTAGTCTTTGTCAGTGTCAAGCCTCATGGAAACAACTGTTGCAATTTCCCAATTTCCCACAGTATATTTTCTGTTTTCAGTCTAAGAAGATGAAAAATTTCACTACTTACTGGAATACTGATGTATGCTAACAACAGGAATGTAATTTTGTGTACTTTTTTTGTAATATTCCTCTTGAAAATAAAAACTAACCCTATCTTTTGCAGGGAGATGGTGCTAAAGAAATAGATGTCAGTAATGTGATACGAGAGAGAGACATTCTACAACAGGAGCGAGATTTCTTTAGAAACCACTACAATGAAATCTCTCGTAGGATGGCTCAGGCAGCTTTATCAACGCCTTCTGTGCCTCAGTCCATTGTTAGTTTTTCACTCATTGTGAATTTGGTGGAATATGTCCAGTATTTTAATGAAATTAACTGTATGATTAATTTTTTTTAAATTAAGGTGAATGGGATTAAAACAGTGATGGTGTTATGGTTGGAAACTTCCATTTCTTACTGATTTTTTTTTTTTTTCCAGAAACAAGAAATAGAATCGTTAATGACAGAGAAACGAGGGGTTGTAATAGCCAAGGCAGATTTAGAGGCAAAGGTAAATTTGTGTATTGTTCTTAATTTATGTTTCTTAGTTATCTTTAAAATGTCTAAAGAGATAATAGCAGTGACATATAAATAATAAGTTTCAATGAGTTATAGTCATGTTAACACCTTGCACCTCATTTCAGGTAAGGAATCTTACTGAAAAGCTGAGAGAAGTTGAGCAGGAGAAGAACGAAATTGACAACCACACAAGGGAGCTTCATGCAGCCATTGAAAAGTAGGTAGAAAGAAGAGGAAGTTTATTAGATTGATCAATTAAGTTATAGAAATGTAGGTGATAGATCTTTGATGTTGGCTTTTATGGTATACAGGTAGTGTTGTCGTTTTTATGAATTTCTCGGTCTTTTAATGCATACTCCCTCTTAAGCACCCACAAATTCCATGGAGAGTATCTTCTACCATATGTGTATTTTAGATTTAGTATTATTTGTAGATTTCTCATGAATGATGATATTATCTGTGTACGGAATATGTGTCACTTTCTAATTATGTGATAATTTGTTCAGACTCCAAGATGCTGCCACCCAGCGGTATCCCCCATCCACACAGGCCTTCATCGCAGAGATAAGAAAGGCTCGAGATTCAGCTTTGTCAGACCTTGATAAGGTGAAGAAGGAACGGGAACTCCTCAGGGAAAAACTAAGGGTATGTTGAATTTTATGTATTTATTTTTATGCAGGTTTATCGATATTGTATTTCTTAGATTTTGCATTTGATTGAGGTGGTTAATTTTTCACTGGTGCAGGCATCACTTGCAATACAATCAGTAGGTATTATTGATTGATTATAGTCTTGAATTTTCCCTCCCAAAAAACTTTTATAAGTGATTGATCTGTTTGTGATTCGTTAAGTGATATCATGATAACTACTCTACACAGTGTTTAGTTGTGGCAATGTTTGATTTTATGTTTGGTGCATGTCACTGTGTTTGTGTTTGTGTTTATTTTGGAATTAAGTGTTATCAATTTCTATATCTTTTTTGTACATTTTTATTACTGTCTCACTTTAGAATATCATTACATTAGAATTATTGCTAAAGTTTGTTGTGAGATGGCTCATTTATAATGAATGATTGGTTTGAAAAGTAACTTCATTAAAGCAATGATAAAATGCTATCCATGCACAGTTGATCTTGGTATGATCTGTTTTTGAGGAATGTAACCTGGTTGCATGCTGGCATATATGAAGTTACTGTCTTTTTACCTAGAAAAGATTACTTTTAATCGGTATTATCATTGTTTTTTTGGTGGTGTATTTTTGCTACTATTATTAATTTGATCAATACCATTCCTATTTTATTATTATTATTATTATTATTATTATTATTATTATTATTATTATTATCATATTATTATTATATTATTATTATTATTATTATTATTATTATTATTATTATTATTATTATTATTATTATTATTATTATTATTATTATTATCATTATTATTATTATTATTATTATTATTATCAATATCATCATGTTAGTTATATTATTATTATCCTCAACACCATTACCAAAATCATCACCCCCCCCCCCTCCGCCGGCCAGAGCGCCACCTCCAGCCAGATGCGCGAGAAGGCCACCCTGGAGGAGGAGGCGTCCAACCTCCGGCACCAGACGGAGGAGGGAGGCAGGATCGCTACGGAGTTGCATCAGCGCCTGCAGTCCCAGGGCTCGCTCATAGCGTCGCTGCAGGATCAAGTGCAGGCCCTACAGGATGCCCTCCAGCAGGCTAATAATGAACTGGGTCTGCAGGGCAAGCAGTCTGACGATATGAAGTGAGTTTTTTTTTTTCGTTTGTTGCTTGGAAGATAAAGGGGTCAAGTTGTGGGGAATATGGGAGTTGAGGGAGGAGGTTAGGTTATCGTTATGTTGGTGCTAGTGAGTAGGTTCGGTCATCCTTGTGTTGGTGCTGGTGAGTGCTTTCTGGGCTTTTTTTGGTCATACCTTTGAAGGGTTAAAAAACCTAAACAATTGTGGTCAAGTGTGTGTCAGACACACGAACTGATGCCCTCTCATAGACATGTCATTTTCTGGGCTGCCTTCTCATAGACATGTCATTTTGTACATAATTCTTGTTCCTTTACATATGAATATATAAAAAAATGAACAGCAAATGGATTGACACCTACTTAATGCTACATCTGTATCCACGCAGAAAACTATTGGAAAGGAAGGTAGGGGAGATCGGGGACACAGAGCACCAGCTGGAGTTCCGCCTAAGTCAACTGTCGGCAGCCGAGAACCGAGTGTCCGACCTGGAGACTGAGCTGGACAGGGTGACGAAGGAGCTGGCGGTGGCGAGGGCAGACGGGGCAGCCTTGCGGGGGAACGTCAGCCGTCTGGACCACGACAAGGATCTCCTGACGGTAAGCATGTGGTTTCGATGTTGTTGTTCTTCTTGTTTTTATGAGGACGAGGGAAAGGAATTTGTAAGTGATTGCGTTTTGTCTAAAGTAGCTATTGTGAGCGTTTGAATACAGGTTATTGTTTTCTCACGTCATTTTTGTTTCGTCTTTTTTTTCTACATTAATGTGATTCTCAAGTTGCTATGGTTCTCCCTTGCAGACAGAGCTGGACACGAAGACCGAGCAAGTCCTGCACCTGCGAGAGGAACTGCGGAAGAAGGAGGCTGCCATAGCTCAGATGGAGGGGAACATAACGAAGCTGGAGGGCAAGCTTGAGTGAGTACATAAGCTCCTTGATATTTGTGTTGGAAATGAAGCAAGGCCGAAAATCAGACGAAGAATCGGCGGTTATTGATATTCGTGGAGGAGATGAAGCAGGACCGAAAATCGGACGAAAAATTTTGCGATTACTTTTTTTTGTTGTGTTGGGAGGAGTCATGTTGTACTCGAAATGTTAAATATTTATTTATTCTTTTTTCACTGTGTTTCATTCCATATGTGCATAAACGGTGTTTTTTTTTACGTGGATATGACCATATATCCATATCTAAAAGTAAGGAAATATGTGGAATAATAAATAATGGATTGGTTTTGAATGAGTGAACTGGAAGTATATTGACGAGTGAAAGAGGAGAGGAACTTCACTGAACGAATATGGTAAATCTAAGAGAAACAAAATACGAGCGAAGGCGATCCGTAAGTGGAAGGCATGCCAGAGGTGAGTGAAGGTGAGTGGTATGGAGAAAATGGGTGGATGAGTCACTGGATGCGTTACACGGTGAGTTAGCATGATTGGTCTTCCTCGTGTAAGGCGCATCTGAGACATACACAACAGGATTATAGTGTCCTTGTGCAACGAATGACAAGCAGAATGTTCGTTGCTAATGCCAAATGTAGTGTGATTGTTTTGCAAGATGCTGGTAGGGAAGGTACCGGACCTTGAATTAGATAGGGTGATTTTGCAGTTATGTATATGAAAGTAAGGTTTTTTAATTTTTAATGTGATTAAATTGGGCTGTTTAGCTGGGCCGTCTCCGTTCTCATCTGGGACGATTTCTCTTTCCATTTTATTTATTTATTCTCTCTCTCTCTCTCTCTCTCTCTCTCTCTCTCTCTCTCTCTCTCTCTCTCTCTCTCTCTCTCTCTCTCTCTCTCTCTCTCTCTCTCTCTCTCTCTCTCTCTCTCTCTCTCTCTCTCTCTCTTCCTCTCTCTTCCTCTTTCTCTTCCTCTCTTTCTCTTCCTCTCTTTCTCTCTCTCTCTCTCTCTCTCTCTCTCTCTCTCTCTCTTCTCTTCTCTCTCTCTCTCTCTCTCTGTCTCTCTCTCTCTCTCTCTCTCTCTCTCTCTCTCTCTCTCTCTCTCCTCTCTCTCTCTCTCTCTCTCTCTCTCTCTCTCTCTCTCTCTCTTCTCTCTCTTTCTCTTCTCTTTCTCTCTCTCTTCTTCTCTTTCTCTTTCTCTTTCTCTTTCTCTCTCTTCTCTCTCTCTCTCTCTCTCTCTCTCTCTCTCTCTCTCTCTCTCTCTCTCTCTCTCTCTCTCTCTCTCTCTCTCTCTCTCTCTCTCTCTCTCTCTCTCTTTCTCTTTCTCTTTCTCTTCTCTCTTTCTCTCTTTCTCCTCTCCCCTCTCCCCCTCTCTCTCCTCTCCTTCTCCCTCTCAATCTGTCTGCCTTTCTTTCTTTCTTCCTTTCTCTTTCCTTTTCTCTTTCTCTCTCATGAGAAGTTAGAGTCCTGTTGCGTGTGAGAATTGGTTAGTGTGTGTGTGTGAAATTCCCGAACGGAAGTTTCTAAAATTCCGTTGCATGCAAGATGGGAGACATTTTGCTTTTGTTGGAGAGATGTTGAAAGAAAGATATTTTTTTTGTCTACTTACACGTGGTGGGTTTGAGTGTGCGTTCCCGCGCGTTTGTTTGCGGGTGTGTTTGTCTTTGATAGTGTTGGTCTGTGTATGTTTTTTTTTTTGGGTGTGTGTTCATGTATACATTAATATTTGTCTTTGTGTGTATACATTTGCATGTGTCGTGCATGCGGACACTCGCTGAATGCGCAAGCAGACCGCGGGAGATGAGACACGCCCGGAGAAATCACACGCTCTCTTGTCTTCGAATCTGCACCTGTTGCGGAACATTCCCATCAGTTCCGCATTCGGAAGATTTTATTCTAAAGCACGCGCTGATATTTATGCATACACGCACGCGGAGACACACACGCACGCACACGCAGACACATAAGCACGCACACGCAGACACACACACGCACTCACACACACATCCCCTCCCACACACACATACGCACGCGCACGACGCACACACACACGCACGCACACACACACACGCACGCACGCACGCACGCACGCACACACACACACCCACACACACACACACACACACACACACACACACACACACACACACACACACACACACACACACACACACACACACACACACACACACACACACACACACACGCACGCACGCACGCACGCACGCACGCACGCGCTGCATATCTCCTTTATTCATGTATTTCTTTTTTCTCACACGCGCGCGCGCGCTAGCGATGAACCACAACAACGATCACAGACGCAAGTGATCAAACATTAATTAATTGATAGGTGCAATTAGGCAATTTAACCCATTTCTCATTGCGGTAAATGTTGATGAGGCTTTCCCTAATCCGGCGCCACAGGTAATATTCAGTAAATTATTAATATGCAAATGAGAAATGCGGTGGGTATGAAAACCGCGTTAATTTACGTTTTTTCTCATCTTTTTCTTTATATTAATGTAAATGTTTAACAGTTGTATGAAGGGAAAACAACGAGAAATTCGATAGATTAAAAGGCACATTTTTTCTTCTCACAAAATTATCAGTATTAATGATTGATATATTTATTAATTTTACTAAAATAGGCTACACTTTAGACTAAATATGATTATAGAATAAGTATATTTCCAACCTCTCGGCGCCGCGTTGGCCCCGGAGTCGAAGCCCCGGGCAGGGAAAGCGAATCTTCTCGAACGAAATGGAAAAAGCAAATGTTAACCGACGTGCCAATTATCGCCTCTTTGCATAAGGCAATTGCCCCAGTGGCGAAGAGGGAGGGAGGGGAAGGGGAGGGGGGAGGGGGAGGGGGAAGGAGGGCGTGTGCGTATGGGGATGTGAATAACGTATTATGACTTTCACTGGTGGTCTAGGGTGAAGGTGGGGGGGGGGGGGGAGGGGGAGGGGGGGGGGGTGGGCCTGGGGGGGGGAGCGATTTTTAAGCTTCTTTTGTTTACTTTCGCGTGTCATATGGGGGTTTGCCGGTGTTGTTCTGTGCGAGGAAGTAATTATTTTCTTTCTGGGTCTGTTGTTGTAATTTGCGTTGCGTCAGAGCGTACTTTCGAAAAGGAGAGGGAACGTATTTTTGTGTCTGTTGGACCGTATTCGTGTTGACAAATGTAGAAAGGTGCGAATGAGAATGCATATCTTCACAATACGAGAGATGTATTTGGCCGGTTTCGAATATAGCTTAGGAATACGTGTGTTTCATACCTTTCTACAGTATTTGTATCTGTTTTGAAAGTGATTTGTCGTTGGCGGGTCGGTGTCGGCTGCCGCCATCTTTGTTTACACGGGCACGCGCCATCAAGGGGTTTTGTCAGGGAATATAGACTAAAAAATGCTATATAAATTTGTCAGGGAATAGACTAAAACCCCTATAAACAGGACTAAAAATGAAAGAAGAAAGAAGAAGAAGAAGGGGTTTTGTCAGACTAAAAAATGGTCTAAAACCCTATAAAAGAAGAAGAAGAAGAAGAAGGGGTTTTGTCAGGGAACTAAAAAATGGTCTAAAAACCCTATAAAAGAAGAAAGAAGAAGAAGAGAAAAAGGTCTATATAAAAGTTTTGTCAGGACTAAAAAATGGTCTAAAACCCTATAAAGAAGAAAGAAGAAGAAGAAGGGTTTGTCAGGGAATATAGACTAAAAAATGGTCTAAAACCCTATAAAAGAAGAAAGAAGAAGAAGAAGGGGTTTTGTCAGGGAATAGAAAAAATGGTCTAAAACCCTATAAAAGAAGAAAGAAGAAGAAGAAGGAAGACTAAAAATGTCTAAAACCCTATAAAAGAAGAAAGAAGAAGAAGAAGGGGTTTTGTCAGGGAATATAGACTAAAAAATGGTCTAAAACCCTATAAAAGAAGAAAGAAGAAGAAGAAGGGTTTTGTCAGGGACTAAAAAATGGTCTAAAACCCTATAAAAGAAGAAAGAAGAAGAAGAAGGGGTTTTGTCAGGAATATAGACTAAAAAATGTCAAAACCCTATAAAAAGAAGAAAAAGAAAGAAGAAGGGTTTTGTCAGGGAATATAGACTAAAAAATGGTCTAAAACCCTATAAAAGAAGAAAGAAGAAGAAGAAGGGGTTTTGTCAGGAATATAGACTAAAAAATGGTCTTAAAACCCTATAAAGAAGAAAGAAGAAGAAGAAGGGGTTTTGTCAGGGGGTTTTGTCAGGAATATTTGATGTATCATTCAGGCTATGGCTTGAGGAGGGATGAGGGAAGGGAGAGGGCAAAGTAGGAAGTGAAAGGCGTAGGCAGAAGGTTTTAGCTTTATTACGTATTCACGGAAATGAACAATCATGGAAAACGACGTACGTGGATATATATACACAGTGTAAAAAAATATTCATAAAAAAAAACATCAACCTCCAGGCGGGCCCGTTGGGTTAGAGTGTGCAATAGCTCGAGGTCACCGCAACAGCACACGTGTCTTGCAGCTGCTGGACACACCGCGGCAGGCCCCTTCCCGCTTCGATTTTCGCAAGTGTTTTCTGCGGCTTGCGGCTCGCCCTCGCGACGGGGAGAGTTCTGGGGGGCGGAGAGGAAGCGGAATCGCGGGGCGCATTCACTGTCGGGGGGGGGGGGGCGTTTGTGTGCGGTTGTTACACTGTGGTAGTGATATTGTCTTTTTCCGAACACATTATCCGGCGCGAGAGAATTAGTTTGGCTCTTAGCGTTTCAGAGTCCCTAAGAGGAGGCTTCCTCGGCCCCCCGCCCCGCCGTGGGGTCGCAGGCAAGGGCGCCGAGTCACACAAGGGCGCGAGTCACAAGCGAGGGCGGCGCGGCGCCGTGGAGGTCCTTGTGCATGACGGGGGCGTGGAGTTTTGGGCGGCTCGTATCACAGGCTGTGTGGGTGCGTGGGGGCCATGGCCTGGGGTCACGGTAATGCCCTGCGGCGTGTGAGGGTGTGGGGCGGCTCCCCCCGGCGTCCCTTAGGTGGAGGGCTCCCCCCACCACGGCTGGAGGGAGGGCTCTCCGTCAGGGCGCCCCGTGTAGTATGTCCCCGGGGAAGTGCCGGGGATTTTGAAGTAGGAGCCGTCGAGGAAGCCCCACGTCTCGGTGTCGGCCATGGAGCGCCCCGTCCGCCCCTGCGGGAAGGCCGTCCCCGCGCCGCCCCCTCCGCCCTCCGCCCGCCCCCCGCCCGTGGCGTCCTCCACGGCCACCAGCGAGTAGATGTTGGTGGGCGCGGGGCGGCTGGACAGGCGGCGCCCGTTGCGGTGGGTGTCGGGGCGCGGCGGGCGGGCGTGCGCGGGGCGTCGCCGTGATGTTGGCCGCGGCGGGCACGAGGGTGTCGTTGGCGCCCAGCAGCGTGAAGGAGCTGTCCCCGCGGGCGGCCGTCACGCTGTTGCTCTCGCGGTGGTGCTGCGGCGCCTTGTCTCGGGCGGGCGCGGCGGTCAGCAGCAGGAGGGGCGCGTTGGGCGTGTGGGCCGAGCCGGCGGGCGTGCAGGTGGGCGTGACGGGGCGCCATCGCTTGATGACCATGATCTCCCCGACGTCGCAGGGCCCGCGGGTCTCGATGCGGTAGCAGCGGTCGTCGTGCCACTGGACGAAGCCCTTCCGGATGTCGCACGTGCACTGCACGCCGCCCGTGGCCTTGTCGTACGAGAGCACCTGCGAGTGCTGGCAGGGGCCCCGCCCGCCCAGCTCGTAGCAGCGGTCGTCGTCCGGCCAGTAGCCCACCAGCTCGCGCGTGCAGCCGCAGGCGCCGCGCAGGGGCGTCTCCTCGTCGTAGATGAAGAGCTGGCCCTCGGGGCACGGGCCGCGCCAGCCCAGCCGGTAGCAGGTCTCCGTGGCGGGGTGGTATCGGCGGGTGCCCGAGCACGGGTACGCGTGGCACTCGCCCTCGAGCGCGGTGCCGTTCTCGGCGCCCGGCGGCAGGATGAAGAAGTGGCCCTTGTCGCAGGGCCCGCGCGAGTAGAGGCGGTGGCAGTGGCCGGACGGGGCCCAGCGCGCGTGGTCCTCGCGGCAGCGGCACTGCGTGGTCATCTCGTGCGGGTCGAAGGTGAACACCTGGCCGGGCTGGCACGGGCCGCGCTGGTTCAGCTCGAAGCAGCCGTCGCTCTCGCGGTGGTAGTTGGTCAGGATGGAGGCGCTGCAGCTGCACTCGGTGGAGCCGCGCGTGGCGTTGTACAGGAAGATGGCGCCGTCCAGGCACGGGCCGCGCTCGAACAGCTCGAAGCACAGCCCCGTCAGCGACCAGTAGTTGCTGAACATCACGTTCCTGTCGCAGCCGCACTCGGGGAACCCTGGAACGAGAGGGCGGGGTCACGCTGCGCTCAAGGCAGTCTTAGCTTTAGTGTCAGTCACAGTAGTAGGAAGAATTACTGTTATGTAAGAGAAGAGAGATAATTAAAAATGTAATGGTGTGCGGGAGTGAGGAAAGTACCTGAGATGGGATTGATGTAGATGAGGTATCCCTTGAGGCAGGGTCCTCGCGTGTGGTACTGGTAACACGTGTCATCCTGGGGCCAGAACACGTGGCGGGGCGGGCACTCCTTGAAGGCGCGGCACATGCCCGTCTGCCCATCCTCCTCCGTGGCCAGGTACTCTCTGCCAAGAGGGGAAAAATGTG